TGTGCCTCTCGTGTCCTCACCCATGGATACCGTAACCGAGTCTGAGATGGCTATTGCTATGGCTGTGAGTGACCACTCCATACATACCATCCATATATCCATATAATCTCTCTCTCTCTCTCTCTCTAAATATTTAATATTTTTCTTATAATTAACATTTAATTTTCTATTCAATCCGTAATTGAATGTAAATTATTGTATAAAATAATAATAATAATACCATTACTTTGATGGACAGTTATGCGGAGGCATCGGAATCATTCACCACAACTGTACCGCTGACTACCAGGCCTCGGAAGTACTCAAAGTTAAGGTAATTATAACATAGATTTTTAAAAGTTTTAAGCATTAATTAATTGATCATAAATTTTTAATTGAAATTATTTGGAATTGAATGGAAATTACAGTAAAAATGTGTTTTTGGTTCAAAACATATCTGTCGATAGAAAATGATTAATAATTTTTATTTATCTGTCATTTATTGATTGGAAAAATATTTTTATAGCTTTTAATCAAATCCTTGAACACATAGCGAACAGTGATTTCAATTGTGAGAGAAATTATCACATAATTTAGTTAATCAATTGATTTGTGCGCTAAATAAACACACATTTGTCGGTAAATGCATGATATAATGCACCCAAAGCTTACTAATTGTGTTTACTATAATTTAGTTAATATAAATATTTTTACCAATTTTTCTCAAATAATTACAAAATTCACATAAAAATAGAAGAATTCATTCATTCATTAACTATAAGAATATTCTATGAAATATTGAAATTGACATAAAATATTACAATATTACTAACAATTTAACATATACAGTACCCATAGTATACATTACATTCTGTACATTCACAAAGTGTTAAGCCATAACCAATCGTTTGCTAATAAATACATAGAAATTGCAATTTAATACCAATTGATTGCCAATAATTACCACTCATTCCTATGATTACCAGAAATACAAGCACGGCTTCATTCGGGACCCCCTGGTGTTGGGGCCCAACAACAAGGTGTCTGACGTACTGACCATCAAAAAGGAAAGGGGTTTCGCCGGCATTCCGGTGACAGACACCGGCAAACTCGGCGGTAAACTCCTGGGAATCGTAACCTCGCGCGACATCGACTTCAAGACTCAAGACATTCTGAACGAACCCCTGTCGGTGGTGATGACCAAATCGCAGCTCCTGGTGGTGGGCGTCGACGGCATTACCCTTCAGGAGGCCAACGATATACTGGAGAAGAACAAGAAGGGAAAGTTGCCGATTGTGGACCGGGATAACCGGCTGACGGCACTCATCGCCCGGACAGACGTCAAGAAGCACAGAGACTATCCGTTGGCGTCGAAGGACGAGAACAAACAGCTTCTGGTGGGCGCCGCCATCGGCACCAGAGATAGCGATAAGGAAAGGC